ATTGAATTTCTAGGCCACCTCAGCAATGCGCACGGAATCGCTCCCTTACCTGAGAAGACACAATCCATACTGGATTACCCAATGCCCCAATCAGAAAAGAGTCTCTGTCGTTTCTTGGGAGTTGTGAACTATTACGGTAGGTTCATTCCCAACTGCGCTCAAGTACTCCAACCTCTCACGGATCTACTGTAAGGCAACATGAAACACTTCTGAGTGACATCAGAGGCTGAGTCCGCGTTCACGGAAGTGAAACAACTGCTCTCCAGGGTGACTACCCTAGACCACCTCGACACTTCCAGCGAGTCACGAATAGTTTTAAAGACAGATGCATCGCAAGTGGCCGTCGGAGCAGTTCAGCAACAAGTAGTTTGAGGCGAAACCCAACCACTCTCCTTCTTCTCCAAGAAGCTCACCACTACTGAGACCCGTTAAAGCACGTTTGGTAGACAATTTCTCGCCATCTACCTGGCAGTCAAACACTTTCGTCGTATATTGGAAGGCTGTCAGTTTACAATATTTACCGACCACAAGCCCCTAATTTATGCTTTGCAGGCCAACTCAGATCACCACTCTCCCAGGGAAATTCGTCATTTGGATTTCGTCTTACAATTCACAAATGATATTCGCCATATTGACGGCGCGAGTAACGTGGTTGCCGATGCGATGTCTCGCATTGAGTTGAACCGAATAGGGGCGCCCTCTCTCAATTTGGAAATTCTGGCCGCTGAACAAAAGTCGGATCCAGATTTCACCGAAATTACGTCCAAACCTTCGTTAAGTTTCGAATTCTTACCCCTACCAGACTCCGATACACGAATTCATTGCAATGTTTCGACCGGCAAGCACACACCGGAAGATTTCGACCATGGATTGTCGTAACCAAACATCCGTTCAACAGGAACGTTTAGCACCGATCATTGCATATGGAGGAACATCCGACAGGACGCTCGTCAGTGGGCCAAATACTGCCTCACTCGCTCAGCTGGCAAGGTCCACAAGCATGCACGAAGTCCACAATCTTACTGCCTCTCACGCCAACAATCCCGTCTCAGCAGTTCCAACACCTGTACCACCTCTACCCAAAACCCTGTTACATTAAGGTCAAAGATCTACCTTCTCCTCCTCACAACTAGTTGATTTTGAACATTAACTAATTATCGAGCGTTTTTCTTTACCTTTCAGCCACTACAAACGCTCTAGGGGGGGGGGGGGTATTGAGGGAACGTTATCGCTCTGTGCGTCATCGTATGCCCGCATGTCTGCTCGCCAGGATTGGGAGGTGCGGCCGTACAACTCTGTGTGCAGCGACCGTACAAACAGTGACCAATCATCAACCTCTATTTAACCTAATCCCCCATCCTGATCATGAGTAGCTCCCTGTGTGTACACTTGATCCACAATATACGTACTGGATAAACGTATTCCCTGCTACGCGTCTGTTTCCTTTCATAGCTGGGCTATGGCTTAGTTGGTTCTGGGAGTCTAGCTAGACGTAGGAGACTCTGCCACGGAGATTTCTGAGTTAGTCAGGCTTTACTAGAGTAGCAATCCGCTACACATTAATCATTCGCGTTTACTTAAATTTTGTTAGTGATTTTTTTGGGTAAAAATACTTGACATAATTTTAATCACTCTTAATCATGATTAAGACTCTAAAACCCCAGTTTTCTTAGTAAGTCCAAAGAAAAGCCGTTTCTGAGGGTTCTGTGTGCTTGGAACGACACTACCGTTTTTGAAATGATCATTGCCATTTTTAGAAAGAAACACAAAATAATAGTCACTTAAACTGGAAAAAATCGACAACAAAATTAGCCATTTATTAGGAAACATTGAACTGATAAACGTTCTCAATTGCAAATAGAAGATAGTTGATGATAGATGGTGTTTTTTATGAATGAGTCAGGTTCCAACATAGGCGACTTAGCACTGTTTGGGTTTGCCCTCAAAATTGACCATCAATTTGTTTGAGGAATAATGATTGACGGCTAATGAGATGGGACCAGAAATTCAATCCCCTAAAATAGTAAACTAATAGACGGAAATAATTTGATTACTCCATGATTTCCAAAGGAAGATGATCTATGAGCATGGCAAGGCTAAACCCCGATTAAATTCACTACTTAATAAACTTTAAATGCAGCGAATATAAAAGACAATTTTGTAATCCAGGGTTCAGCCTTTTGGATGGGGGAAAGGTTTAGGCAAATGACAAACAGGACCCAAAGAACTCATATAATAGATCTGCCAATTATCTTCATCCTTGGTTAGCACTAAGCAATTGTTCCTCATACCTACATGTTTCCACGTAATTTCGCACACTTGTTGCCCTAGTAAGGTAAGTAATATTCCAAAGCAAAGTGAAGGGTTAGTATTAAATGGAGAGTGAATGAAACAGTCTGGGCTGGAAATAAGATAAAGCGTTTTCAGAATTATGAAACAAAGGAGTATATATCTATCGTCAATGAACTTTAATAGAATATTGGCACTCTCCTAGGTGACAAATTTCTTCAATACGGTTGACTATATATCCCCTGTGGGAGAATTTGTCCCCTCTACTCATACGTATACTCATACGGCAAAAAAGTCTTTTATTCAGCAGTTGACTTCTGACTTCAAAATACCTTCACTCCACTGTATGTGGAGTATTCACAGTATTCACCTTACCCTACTCTTATAATTGCGTCTGTCTCTTTTAAATCTGCAAATCACTCTTCGGTCCACCCTCTTGAATTTTTCTAAATTTGATATTTCTCCCCTCTGTGAAGTTCGAAGTCAGCTAAGGGCTAATGATAATTATCAAAATGTCTCCCATTCGAAAGGAATAAATAATGATTGTATTTAGCAATGAAAATCATAAGCACATTTGGAACCAGAAAGATAGTTCATAGTTTATGGACAATATTGACAGAGGAAAAGAATGCAATGATATCTGCGCTTTAGAACACGCCATAATGTTTGGTACCAATTGTTATTTTATGGATATATAATAAGCATATATTTCGCTATAATTGATTGCCTTGATTCAGAATTCGAATATCTCTGCTTGTGTTCAATTTATTTTTACTATTGATTTGACACTTTATCAAAATAATTCCCATATTTGTATTGCATAGACCTAAATAACCTTGATAATCAATATATATTTTTTAAAAATGGAACACTTTTCATCCGCCCATAAGGTACATTTCCTTTTGTTATCCAAATAAACAAAATTTTATTCCTCCTTTCAGCTTTATTTTCAAAAATCCTTTTCTGGCTGAAGGAAAAATTTTGCAATGGCGTTCAAACGCCAATTGTCAACCTTTCAGCCACACCTTCTCTACGATCGGGGTGCAAGGGTATCTCTAAATACCCACCTAAACCACCGGAAATTTGATAGGCTATTTTATTATTGTGTATGAAATAATATTTTCTTATTGTTATATTAAAAACAAAATAAAATTCGTAAGTTCTGATTTAGTTAGCTAATTTTTAAACCCGAACAAGCCGCCTCATCTTATCATTGAAATAGATCAAAACGATCCGTCTAAGTGCAATTTGGCCTTGCAATGTTGTTAGCTAATCAAATACTCTACGATTATACCACGCAACATTTAAAATTACATCACAGAGTTATGCCAGGAACTTCAAAATAGATGCCTGTTTGTTAAATATCAAAAATATTAAAGACATATATAAAAGCAGATATTACTGAACCAATAACGGATTCTGCATTCTTCGAATAGGCCAATTATTTTTCATTTTGGGGTATGTGTTCTAAGCATGGAAAAGAATGGATGTATATATTACATGCAACATTGACCAGAAGAGACGATATTAAAACAATATCTTCATCAAAGACGATTACTACTTTGAGTTTGAATGGTTGGTATCTCATTGGCAATAAGAAATTTACTATAGATCTGAAGTACACTGTAAGCACGTTGATCAAAGATTACAATTATTCCAAATGCTGAGCAACTTAAGCAGTTTGGTCAAGTAAGTGTAGACACTCCATCACAAAACTGTCTTTCTCAAGGAAAATTGACTCAAGTACCCTTTTTCGAAAGCAAGAAGAATGAATAGATGTACGAAGAACAATTAGGGACAGGTAGAAACGGAAAAAGCGTCATCGCCCAAATAGTGGGAGCGGAGATGTGATATGAAGGTCATTCAATTGTTCACGTAGGTAGAATGAACGATTCTGCTTTCTTCGTCTTGATAAGTCATCGGTAACCAGGCGTCTTGGTGATTGAGTGAGATACTGCTACAGCTCATTGTATGTATGTGCGTCAAAGATCAAACAACTATCGATCATAGTTTAGAGAACTATTTCCAAGGCAACATGAACATAAATGAATAAGTATGGACAATTAATGAAGCTGCTTCGAAATCTTGCGAAGCTGATGAAATTTGTCTGGCACTAATTGTTATGAAGCTGAATTCTTGAGGAAGCCAAACAGATGAGATGATGACTGTAAAAGACCTTAAAAGTAGACTATGAAACACTATGTGACAAAACATGTAGACTTAGTATGTCTAATTTAACTCTCGTGAGTTCTATAAGCCTAAAATCTTCCTGCTGAACAAATAGGCTTATCAGGAAGAAATGATCTTTGCAACGGCGTGTTTGGTTCCTTTATTTCTATCAGGTAAGTATTTTCATGCTGTTCCATGAAGTGAAAACCCTTCAGACCCAAAAAAGAATGTCAGAATGCAGAAAGGTGGCCATTAAAAACTTTCCAGATCTGCCTCTTAAGTGTGCTAGAGCTTAAAAGCTCTATCTGCTCTATTGTCATATTCATGTGCTATAAAGGATCCTAAAATATCTTCGAAGAGCATTATGTCGTTTCAGGCATTAGATAAGTTGAAAATGAATCTGCAGAAACCATCTTTCTTATTTAAAAAAACCAGTGTATGAGCATTGAACCTCGTAGACAACAATTTGCAGAGATCCTTGAGACGAATTTTGAATTTTGCCGTTAGAGGAAGAACTTCGTGAATATTGTTTAGCTAAAACTCTGACATCAAATGACGTGAGATTTTTCGGTACCTAGAAGACGCTCTCAAAATCGGCTTCAACAACCTCTCCCCTCTCGAGATTAGTGCACTTTCTGCCGATCAATATCAGTTCCCACCTACAAACGAAAATTGCATCTTTTTACACCTTTGTAGGTAATAACAATAAAAAACAAGCAATTCAAGTATTTCAGCAGACTTATTCGTTCAATAAATGCATATCGTGTTTTACAGTTAGTAAACCTTACTGGTCTCAGCTGTAGTTAAAATCGTTCAGGTTCAGTGGGATACAGATAAATTGAGGTTACATGACCAATCTTGAAATGAAATTATCCTGAAATGTTTGTATATTTGATTGATATAATCTCCTCACCACCAACCCCCCCCCCCCATCTCCAACCCCTCTTCATCATACGAGTCAGAAAAAAGAAAAGTAAATACTTAGAAACTGCATTATGATCTATACTCCTTGTGGAGTTGCCGACAACTCAAAATCACCAGAAAGTACAGTAACGTCCTGAAATCAATGCCTGTTTATTTTATTAAACTTTCTTCATGGTATCATGCCTGTTCCTTTACTTCGGCTCCCCAAATTACAAAATGTGAGTTTTAAGTAGTTCATGATAACGGATCGAATTAAAGTAAGAATTATTAGTATTAGCGAAATGCCGAACGAACGCTGCTATTTGTGAATTGGTACCTATCTTCAGTAAGTTCGAATTATTTAAATGTCCTATAAGGTGGGTTTCAATAAGAGAAGGAACAGTACGTTTATGGGTTGAAATAAAGCTTTTGGTTAGTTTCGCCTCAATTTTTTTCAATTTTTTTTCCAGATAAGAGTTGTACAGACACATCTATTAATCCAATCACGAAGCATTTTCATATAAAGTCGTTTAAGCACACTTATTCAATTATTGTAACTTCCATTCAAAAGTTCTGGGAAGAGACTGTTTATTATTCTACCTTAGAATTCAAAAGAAGACTATGGTTATAACCGGTGTAGGAAATCAAAATTATTGTTTGCTAGTTAATTGAATAAATATTTGAACTTGACACCTCCATTAACAGCCCAAATCATAGGTCCATTTGCCAGACATTTAGTTTGAAGAACAGTCTCTGAATTTTTCACCAACACCTACAGATGCGTGTAAAATTCATCACCTCTCATACCACGCGTCTGGAATTTTTTTAGCAGTCTGGCCACAGGAAGTAAGTAAATTGATGAACTTTATTTTGGGGTGCACGATAGACTTACCTCCACGTGGCGCACCTTGGTCAATGTATGCTCATATATCAAAAAGTCTACAAACGGGCAGTTGAATTCTGACTTCAAACTACCAAAACCTCACTGTATGTCATATTCCACCACTTCCACAGTATTCACCTCACCTTACCTTTTTCTTTACCTTTGTGTCTGTGTCTTCAACATCTGTAAATCACTCATCTATTCCCCCTCTCCACTTTTTGTGACTTCGATGTTCCTACCATCTGTGATGCCCGAATTCGACTAAAGGGCCAATAATAACTATCACAGTGCCTGCCATTTGACATTAATAATTTTAATATATTAGTCGAAGCTCACTTGGAGCATTAGCCGAAGTGTTTACAGCACTTGGAGCCACTCTTAAGAAAGTCTTCCATTCAAACTCTACTTGTTGACCCAAATTAACCAATATAGTAGGTTACCCTCACCGCTGGTAGTGCCTTGATGGAAACTGATTTCATAACCTCCAGTTTAGTTGAGGCCCACTGTGATCATTGGTTCATCAAGGCGTCTCTTTTACTTCCACTAGTTGCTTTTGTACTTATCGCGAGTACTGGCATCATGAAAGATATTTTTTATTAAGCTATTTGAACGCACATGCCAATTTCAACTAATAACATTAATCTATGAAATAACTGAAAGGCAAATCAAGAAAATCATCCAATAAGAACTGCCTTTCAATAAAAAGAAGTGGCCAATCACTTAATGTACTAGCCATCTGAATAATTATAAAACAGCGGAAACTGATTTAGTCTAGAACCGAGGCATTAAATCCTAAAATGCGAAATTGAAAATCTTAGGATCAAAACATAACGAAGTATTCACGTTAAATAAAATGACCAAATTTATTTAATTCAAGTTATTCTCTACATCTAATTTTTTCGATTTCATGCTTTCCACAATATGTCTCTGAATGCAAATTCTGAAACACTAAATTCAAATATATATGTCCTATGGTAACCGCTCGGCTGATGTTCATTATAAGCTCCTATGAGCCATAAAAAATGTCATTTTGGTAATTCCCATCCCTGTAGGAATTGCCAAGTGGACTAATGATGGGCTCTGACAAAGGCCTAATAGATAACGATGGAAGCAATGACTTTCTTCGACTGACTGGAGTTTCTTTAACGTGCTTCAGCGAATTGCCTAGAATACATTGATTCTGATGAATGAGAAATCATCTGAATTGACGTAAATTGTTTAAGAATCGTTTGAAATGATCGGGAAGGCAGAGTAAAGTAATACTCCCTTCATCACATTTAAAATGAGACTGTTTAATGGGGGCAGTTTTCTATATGTACGCTTCAGTTTTAGACAATGACCTTTGAATAGTGTTATATATCACTGCGCCATCCTTTAGAGCCCTTCGCTGTTAACGGTCTCTTACGGCGACATATGATTGCCACCATTAACTTAAATATCTAACATTTAAATTAATTAGCTATATATATGTAAAATTGTTCACTATGATTTTTTTATGATATTCTATCATGATTTTGCATAAGTTAAAATAGTTCACAACTTTTGATCATGGAAATAATTTAAAGATAACGAGAACAGCCTGAACTTATTTGTTGAATCAAAGAAGGTAGAAAATTTCACTTCTGAATTCTGGACTCATCTCTTCCTTGGGAAAGTTAATGATCTCTAGTTTAGGACCTAATTGATTAGTTGATTCAGCTGTTCAGCTGATCATGCCAACCCAGATGTATTCAAAACGGTATGAGCGCAATGAAACTAATTGAACTATACTCAAATTGGAATCTTGAACCATTTTTTGCAGGGTAATAGGTACATGGAAACACTTCTGCTAAGAAGTGTTTTATGAGGCATATTATTGCCTCTGGAACACTCTCCGTTTTGGCATTCTGAATAGGACTTCATATTCTATTGATACATCATTTAAATGAAAGACGAAGGGGGTTTCCACCAATTCACGTTGGGGACCATGAGGTCGGAGTTTGCGTAAGCTCTGCTCAGGACTGATTTATCTAAATGCTCCGTTTTATGCTAATTAAATTAATTCCTTGAGAAGTCTTTTGTCACTTCAGGCTAACAGGTAACTGACCTAGATTTAGACTGCTCAATGTGTCCAATATAATTAAAGCAAAAATATAACAAATTAGACGTATTTGCCAAATTAGAAAAGTCATCGACAGTTCAATTCGTGGGATTACTAATAATTTAATTACTCTTTTGAATAAATTTGTAAATTATTGATAAATAAAGCGTGATCTCGAGATGCTATTAGAAACCTTGGCCAAAAGGTGCCTTCTGTTTGTTCATCAAATTTTTTTTTAATTTTATCCCTCAGAGGACGCTAAGGGAGAAACATTCATTCATTGGGGAGCTTGAAAGCAACATAAAATCAACAGCCCAGTTTGTCTAGACCCCAGAGTTTGGTTTAAGACACATTTAAATGCCCCAAATGAACGACGCCAAATGTCCACACATTTGCCGGCTGCTTTTGATGCCACACTCCAACAACTGCAGCCTATTTATTACTTCATTTTTACAAACGACGCGTTTGAACAAACTTTGCTGAAATTTCCGGTTCCGTAAAAAGTTGTAAATAATTATTCTTGTATTATAAAATAAACAACCTGATGGAGTGATCCTTCATATAATTTTTCTTTTTGTTGGCAGAAATCTATTTCTCTCCCATCCTCCCACCTTATATGGAAGTGCCATTTGAAGTGGGCCAATAGTTTGAAACATTTGATCAATATTAACATCATTTCTAATTTCAAACGAGTCAATCTTTCAAATTTTCTTTACTCTTTATCTATTCTGTACGAGTGTAATAAACAAAAGAAACTATTATAATCGTTGAAGTAAGACAGCGAGTTAGATCCCATTCTGAAGAAACTCGCATTTACTCCTTTTCATAAGTCAACAATTTGATCATTCCAATAAGCCAAACCCCTTGGTTAACCACTTTTTCACCATATTCGCAATGGCCTTCTCGTTTACACGAACTTGGTATGAATTGACCATTTAATAAGAAATTGACTCCGATTCTGAGTTTTTTTCCTGTTTATTTTTTATGGAAATATATTGGTGTGACATCTATACGCCATTTAATTAAATCATTGAAATTGAAGCCTAAACATCTGTTTAATAATGCTTACTTAGCGTTTACTTTATCATACACCATAAACATAACAACAGTGTATTCTATTCATTTTACATAAACCTTAAAACGCCGATTAAACATAGAGGGAGCAGGGACAAATGTTTTATCAAGGTAGGAATGCAATGTTGGAGCATTGAGGTCAGACTTCATAAGGCTAAATATTAGCCTAATGGAGAGGTGTCAGGCTTGGTTGGGATGGGAAGGGAAGGGGGGGGGGGAGGAGGGGAGCGGAGCGGAGCGGAGGGAAGGATGCAGAGCGATCAATTGAGGAAGACACTCAGCCACAACTTTAACTATTTCCTGTGGACTATTTGTGAGGAAACAATGCAGAGTTCGGGGATCTTGCCTGCATGGGGACGCTAGTAAGGCTTCTGGTTGGATGGGTAGTTTGTCCAAAATCAGCGGAACAAACCGGAACGTAGATGAAGCCCGATGATTGTAGGCACTGCCGCTGAACACCTAGAAAGTAAATTTAAAAAGTAAAATGCCTGGAATATCTTCATAACTTGCAGCTGTGTCATTTATTACTGGGAACAAGTTAATTTTAGTTCTAAAGAAGAGGCTGCCTAGGACATGAGTCACAGCGCATCGTGTAGACTTTCTCTTTTTTGATGAACATTATCCCATGAAAGAATAGTAATAGAATAACCGACCAATATTTGCCTCATTCAAAACATGGAGGAACAAAAATCCACCTCAATTGCAAGTTAAAGAGATTTTCAAAAGTTCGAAATTTATAGATTACGAATTTAACTCTATTTTCAATGTCAGAATGAGAAATACGTTATTTAAGCAAAGTATATTTAAAAATTTAACAAAGAGACCTAAATGAACCAGCGTTAATTCTGGAATCGATTAGAAGATTTGATAGAAACCGAGATCTTACGCCGTTTTGGATTACAGTTATTACAGAACATATAAATGGACCATTTGAAGTATTTTAAAGCCCGAAGTTCATACAGAGGACGCGTCAGGTTTAATTTGGTTTCATTGCATTGATGTATTTGGCACAGTTGAAGACGATGGAGGCCAAATCTTATTTAAGTCACTGGGTCTTTGTTTCTATAACGTGGTGCTAACTGATAACCTGAATACCATTATTATCAGTATCTTTTCCGTTCGTCAATCAGCTTTAAGTTATATCTAGTAAGAGTCCATTGTTTCTAACTTTTTCATTTCATTTTAATTGAGCATTCAACGTTTCAGTCCTTTTACTAGTCCATCAAATTCAGGGGGTTTTAAGGAAACTATGATAGATTCTTTCAGAAAGCAAACGATTCTTTTACAACAGAAAATTTCTCCGTAAAAGTACAAAATTGCGCTTCAATAGTTCGTGATAATTACATTACCTAATTAAAAGACAGCTTAAAAGGCCGAACGAAGACTCGAGTCTTAATAATTTCACTGTGATTAAAAATAAAATAAGCATATTTTAATTTTAACCTAAAATTAAAACAAATCTAAATAATCATGCGTCAGCATAAATTCCGATTGAAATTAATGCAGATTCTTGAATTTATTTACGCGAAATCGTTTATTGAAACGATTGAGAGATTTTACTTTCGTGAAAAGAAAATAAATAGGATAATTGGATTTGCAATGATGCTTTTATTCAATTTTTACCAAGAACAAAGACTTTTCTTCTGCAAAGAATTACGCATGGACAATTCTTTTAAACCGATTCCCATATAGAATTTTAGGGTAAGTGCAAGGTTGAATCTATTGTATTAATTTTAAGAGAATCTAAAGATAACAGAAATTTCTAGCGAACAAAACATCAAACATTAAGACTTTGAACAAAGGCGACAGCACACGAAACTGTGAAAATCGATAAGGTTGTTTGAAACTTTAATGAAAAGACTTAAGGAAGCTAAAAAACTCATTATTTATTAGAAAACAGATTAAGATAACAAAATCGAAGTTAATTAGAAATTATACGTTAATAGAAATTTTTCTTATTTCAGAAAGATTAACTTACTTTTAAATAAATAAAAGAAGCACAAAAGCTAATGTGGTTACCTTTATCATTTATGATACTCACCTGTAAGTAACATTTGCATAGGGAAAAAGTTCACTTTCAAAATCTAAATGTCATATCGAATTTATTTTAAAGTAGAATTTATTTTTAGCAAATGTAACTGTGAATTATGCGCCTTCCATCTGAATGGTATTCATTTACTTCTTAAAATACAAAGATAAATTTGATAAGAAAGGCAGTGGAATTTTACATTGGTGTTTGAAAATCCTACAGGCTCCAACACAACATAGGAAAGGATATAAATCAGAATTGCAAGCAAATTGGTTGATGAAGATGCAAATCTTTCAAGAATTGCCTATTACAGCCGTCTACTACGTGTTTGCCTTCTGTTCTGTAACTTAGACCAATCAATTATAACCAGACATTACCAATTACTGAGGAATTAAAGCATACATGACCAGAGAGAGAGAGAGAGATAAACTTTGCAAGGCTAGGGAAACAAAATGAATTCATTTCAAATAAAATTTGGACGGAATAAGTTAGACATATTTTGGCTTCCCTAAATGATCAGAAAGAAGCAGTTTTATGAGAAACGTTCGTTGAAAGTACCCTTAAACTTTGCTTTTAGAAAATGCGGACAATAACAAAAACTATTATTTTCATCTTTCCATTACGCGATATTGTAAATGGGACATGGTTTCCACCTTCTGGTTAAGGGACGAATGAAAGGGGGTTGGATAGTGTTTGGGTTGAAATGGGACTGAATGCCAATGGTGCATAAGAATTGCCCTACTTCCAAGTTATAGAACCATAGGCTGTCTAGAACATTCCAATTTTGTTTTATCACGTTTTTTTCGTTATTCTCTTCATATCCAAGATCGAGATGACACAGTTTCATGTGATTTCGCAGCAATCCGTTTTCATTTAAGGCTCTCATTTGCTGTCTTGTTGTCTTCGGCCATATTAATTATATATTTAACTGAATAAATACAAGTCCTATGTTGGAATGGCATCGTATCCTGATTGGACAATAAAATGAAAGTATTGGCATAGATTCCTTAGAGATGTTTGATGAATCGAATGAAGTGTAGAAAGGTTTCCAATAGAATTTTAATTGAAAAAATTTTTAATGTGAGAAGGAGCGGATTTTCATAAGTTTTTCAACTGACGCGTTAAGTTTGACATTTTATAAATCCAATTAAAGTCCTATAAGTTATTAAAATCTAAGAGAAAAAATAGCCATGTCATAAGACGACGGATGCGGTTAACATCTTTATTTGACTTGATATTGTCTTGAATCCTAAGGTTGGGTATTACCAGAGACAAAACAGAATGGATATAATGTTGGTTGAAATTCAAATTAGCGTCATCGAAAGTTCCTTTACATGCATAACTGTAGATAAGAAATATTCCTGAGTTATGCATGTTTAAAGAATCGAAAGAAAAAACTGGAGTCTTGTTTAAGTGTGACAAGGGTAAGTAGATCAAAACAAACTTTTCCACATTTATTTTTGGACAAACAATACCTAGTATTAGTATAATTCACTGTTCGTGTTTGCAAGCGTTTTCTTACTTGTCAGTGACAAATGAATTTAATTTTCTCTTCATAAGCCTTATCTACACAATTTCCTATGATCGTCGGAAAGTCATTTCATAATGAGTCAGCTTCAAGATGAAGATGTTACTTCGATATCTGTGGATATGGTGTGTGCGATAGACTTACCTCCACGTGGTACACCCTGAGCAACGTATACTCATACGACAAAGAATTCTATTAACCGGCAGCTGATTTCTGGCTTTAAGCTACCATCACCCCACTGTATGTCATGTCCCATCATTTCAGCAGATCTCGCCTTACCTTTTACTCGACATTTGTGTCTATCTCTCTCTTTTACACATGTGAATCATTATTCTGTGCCCCTCTCGACTTTTTTATCACTTTGATGTTCCCCCTCCTCTGTAAAGTCTGAAATCAGCTAAAGAGCTAATGGTAACTATCAAAATGCCTGCCATTTGAAATAAATAAATATCTGCGGATACGAGGAAAAGGAAAAATATGGGCCTGTTATAATGGATTCGAATTTGGTTTGGGGAGCCAATAGGTGACAATTGTAAATTCCCCAAAAGGCAAATCTAGGGTATTAGGTAATTACTCTGAGATATTTCGTTCAATATTGAAAAGGTGTATTTGAATTGTAGTCAGTAGTGCTGCCTAGCATTGATCGATTTAACGAGTGAGAAACGTAAATAAAAGTGCTCTCTTGTTTTGTTAATCATACATTGAAGGTAAATAAAACTGAAAAAATTAAGCACAATGAGTACTTTAAATGGGCAAAATTATATTTAAGATCCAAGATTTGGTTTAAAGATGAACCTCTGGTTGAATAGCAATTTAACTGCTTTTTAAACTTCACAATCTTGTATATAATTGACCAATAAATTGTAGCTTAAAACATATTAGGAGCTGCATAAAATTCTTTCGATTTGAGATCTGACCTCAAGGTAACTTTGATTATTGAAATATGAAAAGTTAAAAGCCCTTATTAGTTTCAAATTTTGCCTCGAACAACTTTTAACTTAAAGTTCGCATTTTAAATTAAAACTTTAGAGATTGTATTAAAACAAGGGTAAAAATGAACTATTTCTTTTCATCAAAGGTGTGGTTTCATAATTCTGCAATGCAGTAATTAGCTCTATAGTTAAAATTGAAGAGGCCTTTCTATTACTACTTTTAGATATTTTAAAATATGCGAAAGTGTTGCCTACAAAATTCATTTGACCTTTTCATAAGGTTTTAAGCAATAACGCCTGCAATTCAGGAAATAACATAATAATGAGAAAAACTTTCCATTGTTAAAATATTCCTGTCTCAAATGCCGCCATTAAATAACCTCAACTGTTAGAACTGGTTATATTACCAAATAAGTGAACTTTTAAATGTTAACCCCAGTTTTCGTGATTTCTTACACGTTGCCTGAATTACTTTGGTGGTACTTTTCAAATTCCTTCAAGAAAATGTTTATATTGATCAAATTTTATTATTTACAGTCCTAATTGTAGAACATTTTATTGGGAAAAATGAATAATTCTCATTATTTGTATTAACCCATTGTACTTTCATTTGGTTGCTCAGCTTTAAATGTTACATTTAGCAAATAATAATGAGAAAAGTGCAAAATTAAGTTGCTTTTCTTTAAGAACCAAGATATCTCTGAATTCTGAGTCGCATTTCCGCTACCTAAACGTCTTTAGGGTGTTGGAGGGTTTAGTTTTGTGAGAGGAAAGTTTTAACCTAATTGTCCTGCAACTGCCTTAATTTCCGTCGATAGAGAATCGACCCATTTCGCAATATCGTGAATAAGTATCTTAATATTTAGTTTTTGTTTCTTTGAAACCAAAATGCAGCTAACATTTGAAATTGGCTGACGGCTTATGGGACTCCAATTACGACTGGAAATAAAGCTCGAACTTATGCGGGGTTTATTGACTTAAATTTTTATTGCTTAAAAACGTTCCATAAATTTACGAGGAACCAGCACGCTTTTCCTCCAGCAAGACGCCAAAAAATTTTAAAAATTTTCTGAAAACGTCCCCCATTATTTTAAGTTCAAAGATGATTCACACATTTTTGATTTCCCGCTTTTTGTAAGAAACAATTGATGCCCACTCATCGGGTATGAATATACAGGAAAAAAGAATTTTTTATATTGTCATAAAATAAGTAGAAAAAGCTAACTTTTCATGAGATGATTTATTCACTGAATAACTGGGGAAAACGGCAGTCTTTCCGTTTCCGTATAAACTCAACTTCACTTCTTCCTCAAATGGGACCATTTTTTACTTACCATCTTATGAGACAAAGAGCAAAATTATAAAGTAATTGAAAAGCTTATTAAATAGCAGAACTTAGGTAAACTGAAAGAGGAATTAGGCTTATATATACCTTCCAAAATAAACTATATCACATGCAGTATAACTTATCTTCTATTGGACACATTTTGACGTTCACAAACCGACCGAATAACCGGTTTCAGAAGTTTATGCAATGGTTCAATGTGAATAAATGCCTTACTAAATGCAGACCTACGTCTTCGATAACTGAGTAGAGAATAAGTTACAAAATTGCGGACGAAACTTGAAGAGCGATTCAATGTCATATGGGACATTTTTGATTGAAGCACTTTCTTCGATTCTTCAATGCATGCAAATCATAAAGAATGGTCTATTTTCGTTGATAACAATGAGATAATTTAAACCATTTCCAGATAGCTCTATTCTGTTCTTTTTATTCAATTTTGGTGCTTATGGCAAAAAATGAACATAAAGCCCAATTTGGATGGGAAATGAAAAATGCCGAATGGCGCTAATAATTTGTCACTTATCTACACTGTGTAAAATTGAAAGTAAAATAAAATGATATTTATTTATATGACTTTTGCGTATTTAGAAGACTTAGTGCAAGAATGAAAAAAAAACATTTTATAAATTTATTGGCAAACTGTTGCACTTATATCCACTTTTATCCATTTAATATGTTTTAAAAAGCAAGACTTTTTTAAATATAATAAAACACTCAGAAAGTGAAGGAAATGTCCTTTACTAATGAATATAAGCATTATTTATAAAGTGACTAGATATTTTAGAAATTATTCTTAATTATAGCGTTTGCCTAATTCTATCCTTTATGAATTAAATAAAGTACAATAGAGAAGTATATTTCACTTTGGCGAAATTCAGATAAATAAGAGTATCTTTAAGCTGATTAAAAAAGCTTATGTACACGTGTATAATTAACCATAATAAATAGAATGCTGACCTTCATGATTGAATACATCTTCATCGCTCTGGCCCTTTCCAGAATCCGCACTGGATTTGTCGGCGTCGGGAATCATACAGGCCATGAGAATGCCCTAAAATGCAAATGAAATAATTAATCACATGTTACGGTTAGTCTCAATAGCAAAGGTTGTAAAATAATCTCTCGAAATCGATCTCTCAGGGCAGCATTTTAATATGTACCGATTGGTCAGTACTGACGCATGACAATAAACGTAGTTGCATTGCATATCTCATCAAAACATGGAGCTCTATAGGTTTTTCCTTTGTGATATTATAAAGTAAACCTGCCTTGTCCTTCCCTAAAGCGGAAAATTGATTTACAATGATTACTAATTAACCGATCAATAAAATCGCAGAGAAATAATATTCAAGTAAATATTTAAGTTGGATTAGTGTAATACAACAAAGCGAGCGTCTTGTATTACTATGAATTAACTTTTATAAAGTGCATCCACATCTTGCATTATCTTTTCATGATTTCAGCTACTTTATTATAGTGAGAAGTTGTTGGCCTGACGCGAATTATGTTATTGTGATAGTACAATGAGAGCAACTTTTCCTTATTTTCGGTAACGAAATTGAAAGATGGATATTCCCTGCTCTAAATTTAACTTCGTCAACTCGTGTTTGTCAGCCGGATTACCACATTTATATGTGCAAGGTTTCTTTATCTTCGTTTATCTTTGAGGAACAGCCATTGCTGACAAATAGCAGGTTTGCATATGAACGGAACATCAGAATTAATTATCAGGAGAAAGATAACAGTTTCATTATTCCCTTCATCAAAAATTTGCGCTGGAGCGACTTGATTGTGAAATAGAGAGTTTTGAAGCATTATCAGCTGATTAGCTTAACAATAAGGGTGTAGGTATTTCACCTTGAAACTACGACTGGCATGTCAGCGTGAAAAGTGCCCTAGATCACCTCATACCGACACTCCCACTGGTCCTCTTAACTCTTTAGATCCATCCGTAGCTGGACGAGGAAGGCAGGTAACTCTTAACCCTTTCGAACTTCACCTCTTTACAAGCAAAGCGCCCTTTATTCGCCCTTTCAATAGTTAATACCTTAGTTGAGCATGTCTTTTGCTCATGAAACGATATTTATGCGTCTCATTCAGTAAATAAAATGCTTGACTTACATTTCATACAATGAGTATTGATTTTTTAATTAGAAACTTGTTTAATTTCTTTCTTAAATATTCAAAACGTCTAGGTTCAACAAAAGATGGATTTAAGGCAGAATTTTGAAATTAAACGATATCAGTATATCCCATTTATAATGCAGAGATACAGCACATTTTAAATGAAACTAGCAAAATCGAAAGAATCCCCCTTCATTGGGAAATAGACTTTGGTGACACTGAAAGGTAAACAGAAAATAAATCGTTTGATTTTGATGGCAAGTTTAAAGATTAGACAAGAATTTTCCCTGACTTTAGAGCAGAAATTGTGGTCTGACATATAAACTCAGACTATTTTTAAAGATGCTTATATGATTGTACAATTGGTGCGTTTAATTTTGGAAAAGTTTAAAACGTGTGTAAAATTGCAAACGCTTGTTAGATGTAAAACTCATATTTAATTGATATGCTTGGGTAATCATCCTGGCCTCCTAATTACTGAGATCAGCGTACACTTCTACCATGATGGATGTCATTGAGTTTACTGCTCGTCGGTGCACATCGTATAAAATGAGCGATCAAGGACCTAAGTGTCAAACAGAATCAATAAAATGCGAAATTCTCACTTTTTCTCTGCATAAGCCAATTTTTAGCCCATTGATCAAATTATGCTTAGCCAATAAACATTTTGCTTTCTTTCAATCCATTAAGTTGTCATATTTAGTCTTCTAAGTACTCGAAAATACTACCATTAAGCGGTTTAAGTTATCAATATTTAGATTCTTAATATGATGAGAATAATCCCATGCAACCAACTGAGAGTTTATGAGATTCAATGTAATACAAAATTACTTTACTGTATTTTACCTCCAATCAGTTTACTAGGTATACTTGTAAAATAAATTAATTTTGCTGCAAGAAAGTTCATTGTCGCTTCTCCGAATGACGAAAAATTTGTAAGTGTCGAGGGGCATCCTTATCTTCCATCTTAAGGGGTGATCTCGAAGTGTCCGACCTTGCAAGATCGATGCTTTTAGTTTGTATTAAATTTACTTTCCTATATAGATTCGAATTTTGGTTCGCACTAGTCAAAGACGTGAACATATAAATGATTGCCTGGCAAAATGATATTACCATTTCAATAGAAGAGATTGAATATTCAATTGAGGATTTCCCTATTTTATTGAAAATAATTGAGAAATTAGCACAGGCTTGTTAGCTTAGTACGCAGTGATATGAGAGTTTTAAATAAAAACGAGTGTGACAATGTAGAGCTTTTATCCATCAGTTCCGAAAAGTATCCGCCGTTATTTTCGTCCAGTTCCATGTGGTTTCCATAAGGTGAATCGGGTTAACCTGAATTTCAGCAAAGCGCAGATTGATCAGGTGAAAACATAAATATCATTATTAAACCTGATCATCGTAAAAGGAATATTATTTAAATTCCAATAATTTACGCTTACAGTCACTCACCATCCTACATTATTTCTGCGTATACAGAGTTCAAAGTTTAACAAGTTTTAAGCGCCGGTAATATGCCTACTATTGCTATCTTTTAAAGCACATTTGGGTGTACATCTAATGTGCTTTAACATTCGCCATATCTGCCAAGTGCTAAACTTGAAGTGTGGAACTAATAGTCTCTTGGTGGGTTAAAAAGGTTAAAGAAACAACATTAGCCACACACACAAACTTTAGAGCAAAAGGAGAAACATGGCTGAATACAGCAATGTTATATATATATATATATGAAATTTCAAAATTTTGTTTAGGCAACTAAAAGATGCGGCTCCTGAAATGCTTCCTCATTTTCTAGTCCTCTTCTGCACTTGACGTGCGCCTAAAAGGAGCAGCTAAAACAATGAGCAAACATGGCCACCAGGAAGTTATGTCATTAGAGCTAATTAGTGAGACAAAGAGGAGTTTTAATGGAATAATGAAGATTTTTTATTTATTTATTTATTTTATTAATGAAGATTGAAGGGTGCTTGCAACATCTTTGAAAAGCAGTGCTGCCAACGGTAAGAGACGAATGTGTGCAGATCAAACACAAAACGCTATGCTATTCAGCGTCAAAAAGTGGGATAATGGTAACCGATGTGAATCCCCGTTCCCACTCCTAATTCACCTGGGTGAAATTTTTGGGATAAATGGTATGCAAACCTGAAAGGACTTGCAAAATAAATTTAAAATACAAAATTCTTCTCTCTCATGACTATTAAAATAATGACTAAAATTAAAATTCCGTCCCAATCGGACGAATCTTACCACTATGCCCTTAAGTTAGAGTTCTCAATACCATATGCCAACCGATTTCACTAGTGTTGTGCATATAAATAAACAAGCAATACTCGATATTCTGTTAAGGCAGACAATCAAAATGTTAATTAAAAATTTAGTTTGATCATGCTAAGAAATCATTGCTTTCTTTTTACAATGAAGCAAAATTTAACGTTTATTTCATAACTTTGACTTATAGGGAAATGATGAGGTAATGGAGCAGCCACTAAATTAACTGCGCTTATCAGGCTGCTAAGTATTTTCTTTACGTTCTTTAAGCTAATAGTTTTAACTCATTATGAAGGATCAAACCGAAAATCTAATCAATTAATTAATGGACAATTAATATTAAACTAGCACAAGTAATGATTTGGCTTCATTCCACTTGTAAGGAAACAGTGCAAAAATGCTTGCAATAATATTAATAATTGGAGTGTGCGATAGACTTACCTCCACGTGGTGCACCCTGGGCAACATATACTCATACGACAAAAAGTCTTTTAACTGGTAGTTGACTTCTGACTTCAAACTACAACGATCCCCCTAGTTGTCATATTCGACCCCTTCCACAGTACTCACCTCACCTTTTTCTCTACCTTTGTGTCTGTCTGCCTCTTTAACGTCTGTGAATCGCTCTTCTGTTCCCCACCCTTCGACTTTCTGCTACTTTGATGAACCTTCCCTCTGTGAAGCCCGAAGTCAGCTAAATGGCTAATGATATCTATCAAAATGCCTGCCATTTGAAATAAATAAATTAATAAATTAATAATTTGCTACTCAA